CGTCCTTCAGAGGGAATTATGTGAAAATAAAATGCAAAAAAGCTTCTACAGATTTTTAAGGACTTTTCTTGAGAGCACTTGGTCTCCAAAATGAAGATAATATCTAGAGCATGTTTTTTTAGGAGTTGATGTAGTTGATGAACTTTCGGACGGCTCCCTCCCCCTTGACAGTTCCAACGAAGGATTTTCATGGCTGACTATGAGGCAGTATTGGGCCCGCCACCCTAACCCTCAATTCTTCATCTAGATTCGGAGAACTGATTGTAGGATGGAGATCATCTACTTGTGCATGTGCCAATCGTTTAATTGATTGTCTATTGGAATGTCCATGATCCTTTCCCAGGTTCTGGTTCTTTGATGTCAAGGGGTTGAGAGGCCGACCAATGCGTTTTTTCCCCATTGTAATTTCAAATTTAGCAATCACATGTATTTTATCTGTTTGCATGGGTGAGCTTTCATTCACATTGTTCCCCTTAATGTCATGTTGTTCCCTTAGTATTGAGAATAGATCCATGGTTCTCCAATATTGCTGATTTAGTAGGAGCACCTCATAAAGTAGAGGTGGTCCCGCTGTCCATAGTGGGAGATTCAATAGCATGATCCTCCATGCTCCTTGCTACTAGCTAGCTGGTAATAAGGTAATGAATACGAACAATCATTCCATTTAGGTGTGTTTTTGTGATTGGTGCATCTAACTCAGGATTAGGAGAGAAATTGAAGGCGTGCATATCCGTTTCAATGTTGGAAATGTCAGAAATTAAATAGGAAGGTGGGAGGGGCTTGCCTGATTTGGCGGGCTCTCTAACACCGAAATGGTCAGAGGTTGTGAGTTCGCCAGTGTACAATCCAGTTGTAACTCCCCGGGGGCATCATCGTGGTCTATATTCCTTTGAAGATCTCCTTTTGCAGTTTTAGGCATTTGACGAACATTTGTCCTAGCAACTGGAGTGACTTTAATGTCTTCTGTCAGTCTATCTACATTAAGGGACTATAACTTTTCCTTTTGACCCGGGTTATTGCAATCTTCAATGGCCAGTTTCAGTCGATGAAGAGTTCTGCATGAAGCCTTCTCGTAGCCTAATCTCCTACAGAACAAGCAAAACAGTGGAAAGCCTTTCATACTTAACTTTAATCGCAATTGTCTTCCCTGAGAGTAGAGTGTATGGGACTGAATCAACTAATGGTTCATTGATATTCAAAGCAACCTTAATGCGAGCAAACTTGCTCCATAATGCCACCTCTTTTGGTGAAGGTTCAAACGGTTTACCAATAGAAGTTGCCACTTTTTTTTCACTGCATTAACTGATAGATATCCTATAGGGAATCTACTTAGGTTAATCCAAAAATTTGTCGTTGGTAGCTCATAATCTTCAGGGCTTAGATCTAGTTCTCCTCTACATAGCAGAATGATATTGTTTTCAAAAAGCCATGGGCCTTCATCGAAGACCAAGTCCCTCTCAAAGCTGCTAGGGAACTTAATGATGTAAGTGTCTTTCGCAAAATCCAAGATAGTTGAAACATGTGTCTTCCAAGCCTTGCTCACCATCTCCTTTAGACCCCCTGGTTTGATGATTCTATCCATTAAGACTTTGAATATAAGGCTTCTTCTCCATTCTTCATCAGGGAGGGCATCCTCCGAAGAGGCTTTGGCTCCCCTGGTAGCACGAGGGATGAGCATTCTAGAGAAAGTAGTATAAAGATCTTCTTCTTCCATGGTATCATATGTAAAGTGGCTTCTAAAGGGGGAGGGGGAGGAGATGGTGGTAGAAGGAGAGATGTGGAAGGGGAAGAGAGGGAGGGAAGCCTAAACTACGACAAGAGGGATGCTTGCTCTCGAGAGCAAGAGAATAACATCACCAAATCAGTTTTTCTTTGAAATTTACCACGCTTTTAAAAGAGAGAATATGACATATATCAAAAATGTCGTACATGACCAGTAATATGAACAAAATATGCACATATAATTCATTTGATTTATAAAATATAATACTTTGACCATTATTATTTTGATTTACTAATGGTATATGTATTATCCTAACCATTACTTAAAACATACTCAAATCACATCTTCAACATTCTCAGTCCTAACCATTAACCACCAATTAATTGACTATCAAAACAGAAAACAAAAAGGAAAATATACCTTTTAAAAGATTACAACAAATGCTTAAAATATTTATGCATAAAAACCAACAAGTCTAACACCTCCATGTTTCCTTTTTCTCTTCCTTCCATCTTATTCTTGCAATTTGTATTGGTGACAAATAAATGCCGAAGGGCTTGTTTACTAATAATCATGTTAACAGAGTTTGCACATAAAATCCTACATAACTTCCTAGACTCCCAATTGCAGGGTGCCATGTTAGCACTACATCATATGTAGATTTGCCATGTGCGAGTAGAATTAACCATGTTTCATTTAATTTAGTTTTAATTTATGAAAGTTTTTTTTTATAATAGATGAAATAAACAAATATAGAAAATCTTGGGGTTTCTAAAAAGAAGGTTTTTTTCCTTATTTCGCTCAAAGCTTTTTACCACTTAATTGAGTATGCCTGAGCACCAGCTGACCATCATGGAAGACATTTGAGATGTACAATAAAGTTATTCTGTTTGGYCTTTTCTCTTGATTTTGTTAAGAAAATAAGCAATGAGAATCTTAGAATATAAAGTTGCCTTCCATCTTGAATTTATCATATAGAAGGTGAGGCATGTATTGTCTTGTCAAATCAAGTTGCAAAGAGTTGAATAAAAAATGCCCAACATGATTTTTCAAAATGTTCATAGACTTTGGGTGCTGTAGAAATCTGCATTGTTTGAATCTGTATAAACTAAATGTCTGACGTGATTTTTCAAAATGTTTATTGGGTTCTATAGAAATCTGCATTGTTTGAATTTGTATATTTTGTACATTAAATGTAGAAATTTGTAACCAGTCATAGATCCCCTATATTTTGAGATTTTTATTTCTAATCTAATTAATGAAATTCAGAGAAAGGTCAAAGTGAGTTCCTGTATTGATTGTCTCATGTGTGCAATTCTCCGTCCATGGTCGACCGGTGCTCAAGCTTGTAGTTCTCCACCCATAATCCATCAGTACTCAGGCATGTTGTTAAGTGGAGAAAAGCCTTGAGCAATAAGAAATAGTGTCTGAGAAACCCTTTGGTTTTTGGGATAAGTACACACTCTACCTCAGAATTTTGAATTTGACTGCAGACCTACAATAATTCAAAATTATAAACACCTCCACCTATAACACCCATGTCCACCGTGAATTAGCATCAATTCCGGGCTGGCACCTACCTCAACTGTACAGTAGAGCTAAGATTTCTAAGGGTGGACGGAATAGTAAAAACCCCTTTGTTTTTTGGTAGGCATAGCATAAAAAACCCTCACTGATTTCTATTTTTTATTTCATTTAAAATTTAATATAATTTTTCTTATCTTAAAAGTAAGATACACGAAAGTTTCAAATGTCTATTTGCACAAGAAAAATCCTCATGTGATGCCAATGTGACATGTCACCTAGCAATTGAAGGTGTAGGAAATTATGCAAGATGCCATGTGCAGGAGATTCGGGCTCACGTTAACAACCTAATGTACTTGAAAAGTAGTGCAAGTGAAGGTGTTAGCGTATTCCATCAGATTTAGGATTGTATCTTTATCTCCTTAAATCTAGGAGATATAGTTCCACTCCAACTAGCTGTACATATTTTTCTTTCCTTGTTGGCTTCCAATTTAGGTTGCTGACCTGTTCTCTAGTTGTATCTTTAGCTCTATTATAAATAGGTTGTAACCTGTTGAATGGAGATTATCAAGAAATATTATTCTCCCATATATCTTCTTTGTTCTTTCGTATCATGGTATCAGAGTTGTGATCCGCGTCTTCTTGCTTCCTCTACGGTTCTCGTTTCTCTTCTGCAATTTTTTTTTTATTTGGTCTGAGTTCGGTGGTCTCTTCCGCGTCTTCATGCTCAACGGTTCTGCAATTTCTTCTTCCCCGTTCGAACGAAGACAACTAGTGGCGGCAATATCTCTTGCTCCCAACCATTCACTTTTCATCTCTCTCATTCTCTCTCCAATGAAATAAATCATATGAGCATTGTTCATCGTCTTCCACCTCTCGATAGACGCGGTGATCAGCTATGATTCCCTCCCCTCCGGCCTTGATCTCCCCTGCTCATCAGATGAGCACTGTTCTTGATCTCCCCTGCTCTCACTCTTCTTCGCATGATGCAACCCACCCGCCCAATTCAAGGCAATCCACCCGCGTGATGCTCTCCCCTGCTCTCACTCTGCATCCTCGTGGTTCAACTTAACAGCGGCACTGGTACGAGGAAGTCAACGTAATCGTCGACAGAAGGCAAACAAGTCGTCGAAAACGGGGCAGATTATCTTCTATCCTCCCCAAAAATTTAATCGTGTGCTTCCTATCGGAATTCATAAGAATGATCTTTCTCTGGTTGATGCTTCGCAAAAGAGCTCATAATTGAGGATCTGGTTTGATCGCTTCATAAGGCAACCTTCCGTGCACGAAACCGTGGTAGTTGTCGGCGTCGATGTCATAGTCTAGAAATCTCAAGCCGGCAAGAGAGCTCCCATATGTTTTGAAAAGCTCCATTCGTAGATTGGATGCTTTAACCTCTGCAAATCCGCATTTCTTCACAAGAAATTCTTCGCCGATGTTGAAGCGCTTGAGGTGGCAGGCGTGTGTGTGGTCGAGGAGAGTCTCGAGTTTTACGGATACGAGGAAGTCGACAGGACCAGCAAGATAAGGGCAGTTGACCTCCATACGATGGTGAAGAGAGTAGTGTAGGAGTCCCTGATTGAAGGCTCGTAGAAATAGCACCCTCTCCGCTTCTTCTGCGTCTGGCCCTCCTAGGAGAGAAGCGCTCCCTGCTGGTTGAATGAAGCATGCAGCCCATGTGAGCAAAACCGAAACTTGTGTTTAAGGTCAGCATTAAGAATTTCTCATGACTTAAAATTCAGCGTTTCTCCTCATGGATTCATCTGAAGCTGCTCAACATATTTCTCATCTCATCACTGTTATCTTTGATGGCTCAAATTATGATTTATGGTCCCAAGAGATGCGTAGTTTTCTCAAGGGACGCCTTCTATGGCAGTATGTGACTGGTGAGATACCCAAACCCAATAAAATTGCTAATGAAATAGAGGATAAATTTGTTGAACGAATAGAAAAATGGGACAGAAAAAATCATCAAATATTGACTTAGTTTCGCAATACTTGTATTGCAAGCATCAAGTTGGAATTTCGCAAATATGAATCTCCTAAAGAGGTATGGGATTTCTTACAAGCTCGTTATTCTATTTCTGATGATGCGCATCAGTTTCAACTCTATAGGCGTCTTCACCGTATGAAGCAGCAACCTGAACAGACCATTCACAATTATGTCTCTGAATTACAAGTTCTTTGGGATCAATTGGCACAGTGTGAACCTGAATGGGATAGTACCTCTGCGGCCATTACTTATTCCAAGCTTCGCGATCACCAACGTGTTTGGCATCTTCTGATGACTCTCAGGAATGAGTATGAACCTATTAGTGGTACTTTACTTCATCATTGCCCATTGCCCTCCCTTGAAGTTGTGATCAAAGATTTGCTCTCTGAAGAAACTCGACTAAAAACACTTCGAGATGAGCGATCCTTACTATCTACTGATGTTGTTCTTGCTACTCCGGGTACATCTACTACTTCTTCAACTTCCTCTAAATCCTCAAAATGGAGTTTCTGCAATTACTGCAAGAAGACTAGTCACACTATTTCTGAGTGTCGCCGCCTGCAAGCCAAAAAGGCATCTGGACAGAAGTCCTCATCAATGGGTTCTCAGGCTTCGAGTTCTACTGCCATTGCTGCCACAGAGGATTCTTCTGATAACACCTCTCCAAAATTTTCTCTTCGAGATCTCCAAGCCCTTCTTCACCAGCTCCAACCTGCTTCTGGTATGCCTTCTAATTCAGTATTGTCCATCACTCTAGGTACTACCTCATCATGGTATTTTGATTCTGCCTGTTGCAATCATATGACATCCAATTCATCATTGTTTACTTCCAAGTCCCTACCTTCTGTTGCACCAATTGTTCATACTGACGATAGTTCAACCCTAACTGTCAAAAGTATAGGAACTATTTCAACACCTCATTTGTCACTACCTAATACTTTTTTGGTACCTCAATTATCTCTAAATCTTATATCTGTTGGACAATTATGTGAACTTGATTTTGACATACATTTCTCAAGTCGTGGTTGTACTGTGCAGGATCCACGGACATGGAAGATCATTGGGACAGGCCGTAAGGTTGGGAGACCGTTTGAGCTATCATCTCTTCAATTACCATCTCTTGCTGCTGCTGTCACTTTTGCCATCTGGCATTCTCGTCTTGGACACATTTCCACCTCTAGGTTAGGATCTTTAATTTCTAATGGATGTTTGGGTCCTATTAAAACAACACCCCTTGATTGTGTTTCTTGTCATTTTTCAAAACATCATGCTTTGCCTTTTAATATAAGTGATTCTGTTTGCTCTACACCTTTTGATCTTATTTATTATGATATTTGGGAACCTTTGCCTCATAATACCATGGGTGGTTCGCGTTATTTTGTAATTTTCGTTGATGATTTCTCACGGTATACATGGATTTATCTCATGTGTAATAAATCTGAATTATCTGCAATTTATATTCAATTTGCCACCATGATCAAAACTCAATTTTCCTCTATCATCAAGATCTTTTGCACTGATAATGCCATGGAACATCGAGATTCTATCTTTACTCAATTTCTTTCACAAAATGGAACCATCATTTATAGATCTTGTCCCGACACCTCTCAACAAAATGGGCGTGCAGAACGAAAACATATGCATATTCTCGATATTGTCCGCGCTTTTTTAATCTCTTCCTCTTGTCCTGAGCGTTTTTGGGGGGAGGCAGCCCTCACTGTTGTTTATACCATCAATCGCATTCCTTCTCCTGTTATTGGTAACATTTCTCCTTATGAACGGTTGTATGGCCATTGCCCCGATTACCAGTCTCTTCGTGTATTTGGTTGTACTTGTTTTGTTCTATTACAACCTCATGAATATACCAAATTGGAACCAAAAGCACGTTTATGTTGTTTTCTCAGGTATGGTATTGAACATAAAGGATATTGGTGTTGGGATCCTCTTTCCCAACGACTTCGCATATCTCGTCATGTTACCTTTTGGGAACACAAAATGTTCTCAAGTCTCTCCCCATTTCGAGTTACCACGGCATCTTCATATTTTTTTACTGATCCTACTATTTCGCTTTTTCCGGAAGATTTGCCTGCAGGTCTGATTACTTCTTCCTCTGATAGCTCTAACAGTACTGCACAACTTGCAACCTCTCCTGATGCATCTACCTTGGCTATGGATTCTCCAGCTCTGTCTTCTTCTGAACTCTTGATTCCTCCTGCTGAATTAGACCCTGATTGTTCTGATGCTCCACTCCGTCGTTCTGGTAGGGTCACTAAACCTTCCATTCTTCTTCGTGATTTTCATTATTACTCTACCATTGTTTCTTTATACGAGCCTCGTACCTATCACGAGGCTAGCACTGACCCTCTATGGCAAAAAGCAATGGCAAAAGAAACCCAAGCTCTTACAAGCACTCATACTTGGGATTTAGTTGATCTGCCTTCAGATAAATCCGTGATTGGTTGTAAATGGGTCTACAAAATCAAGACTCGGGCAGATGGTTCAATTGAAAGGTATAAAACTAGATTGGTAGCAAAAGGATTCGCACAGGAGTATGGCATTGATTATGAGGAGACTTTTGCCCCAGTAGCCCGTCTCACTTTTGTTCGTAGTCTTATTGCGATTGCTGCAGCTAAGCACTAGCAGCTATTTCAGATGGATGTTAAGAATGCTTTTCTCAAGGGAGATCTTTTTGAAGAGATTTATATGCAACCCCCTCCTGGTTATGATCATCTCCCTAATCAAGTTTGTCGTCTCCGTAAGGATCTATATGGACTTAAGCAAGCGCCTCGAGCATGGTTCTCCAAATTCAGCTCTACTGTTTGTCAGTTTGGTTTTCAATCTAGCACTCATGATCATCCCTTGTTCATTTGTAAGACCTCTCAGGGTTGTGTACTTCTTCTCCTTTATGTGGATGACATGATCATTACTGGCGATGATTTTGCAGGGCATTTATGCTCTTAAGACTTTTCTCAGCAAACAGTTTGAAATGAAAGATCTTGGTCGACTAAATTATTTCTTAGGCATTGAGGTCTCCTCCGACCAATCAGGATATTATCTGTATCAGGCCAAGTATGCCACTGATCTTGTTTCTCGTGCCGGCCTTACTGATACTAAGACTGTTAACACTCTGATTGAGCCTAATGCCCATTTTTCAGCCACTGATGGTACTCCTCTCAGTGACTGCACCTTATATCGGCAACTAGTTGGCAGTCTTGTATACCTTACGGTTACTCGTCTTGATATTGCGTATGCTGTCCATATTGTGAGTCAGTTCATGTTTGCCCCTCGCACTACTCATTATGCTGTCGTGCTTCGCATCATCCGTTATGTCAAGGGCACCTTGTTTCATGGACTTCACTACTCCAATTCTTTATCTCTTCCGTTGATCGCATATTCTGATGCTGATTAGGCCGGTGATCCTACTGATAGACGCTCCACTACTGGTTATTACTTCTTTCTTGGCGATTCTCTTATATCTTGGCATAGTAAGAAGCAAACGGTTGTCTCTCGTTGCAGTACTGAGGCTGAATATCGAGCTCTTGCTGACACTACCTCCGAGCTGTTATGGTTACGATGGTTACTCCATGACATGGGAATCACTCAGTCATCTGCAACCTCTCTTTACTGTGACAATCGTAACGTCATACAGATTGCCCACAATGATGTATTTCATGAGCGCACTAAGCATATTGAGACTGATTGCCACTTTATTCGTCATCATGTGCTCGAGGGTACTGTTCTTCTTATTCTTGTCCCTTCCCAGGATCAGTCGGCGGATATATTTACCAAAGTTCACTCTCCTCTTCGCTTTCGTACTCTAGTTGGCAAACTCTAGATGACTGATACATTACCATCTTGAGTTTGAGGGGGGATGTTAGCATGTTCCATCAGATTTAGGATTGTATCTTTATCTCCTTAATTCTAGGAGATATAGTTCCACTCCAACTAGTTGTACATATTTTTCTTTCCTTGTTGGCTTCCAATTTAGGTTGCCGACCTGTTCTCTAATTGTATCTTTAGCTCTATTATAAATAGGTTGTAACCTGTTGAATGGATATTATCAAGAAATATTATTCTCCCATATATCTTCTTTGCTCTTTCGTATTAGAAGGAGATGGGTTTCAACTTTGAACTCCATTATTCCTGGCTAAAACTTGTTCTACAGGATGATGCAGAGAGACCTACGTTCTTAGAAGTTGGAAGATCATGATTCCTGGCTAATATAGAGGCACATTTCAGGTAGACCTTAAGCAAATAAGCAGCTCCCTCTTAAGAGCATTGTAGAGTTCAATTTCAAGCCAACATACGATTCAGTAAATTCCCTTCCGATTTATGATCTCTATTTGCATTTGTTAATCTTGGTTTGTTATTTTATTTTATGTCATTTATTTTCTTTTTTTTCTTCTTAATGATATGGACTGACGTGTACTGAGATGATGTTGATCGGAACTGGTGGTGAAGTCTCTACTGAACCGGTTCCGTCAATGCTCTTAAAACCTATCCAATCTCGTTGTTACCTCTTCTTGAATCTCTGATCATTACTTGATCTTGTTTACTCGGAAGATATTTGTTAGAATAGACCTGTGTTGTTCATCACATTCTTTATTTTGATTTTTTTCTTTCTTTCAACCTTTGTCTAATTTACTCAAATGGAAGGTTGTAAGTTTCTTATCTTAGTAGGATGTTCCTTCTCTCTAAGTTGTCAATCGTTTTATTGAATGGATGCTCGCTCTACTTGGCATGTTAATGACTGAGACGATTAGTGGGGACTTTATTTGTTTGGTCAATTCTCTACTGTAAGATTGCACCCATTTGAATTGAATAATTGCCTTCCAGGGTGAGAGGAGTGATAACCTAGCAAATTGGAAGAGTTATACAAAAAACAATAAATGTAAAATAAGAGAGGTTGGTTACAGAGAACAATAGGTCGGTTATAAGAGCAGTGTGGTTCTGAAATAAAAAATAAATATAATGATAATAAAAATATGTGATAATTGGACTGATTTATGGCTAATAAAGAAATGTCAATGATCAGTTAATAAATAAATATGTCAATAAGGTTCCATAAGAAAATTGTAAAATTAAATAGAAGAAAAAAATTAAAAAAGTTTTTAAAAATAAAAAAAATAATTAATCAATGAAAATAATAATTAAAAATTAAACAAGAAATAATAATAAAAAGAGAGTAAAAATAAAATAAAAAATATGTGAGTAAAAATAAGGAGGAATTTCTGATTTATTCTTTGCTTTATATTAGTTAGTTTTTTTGGATTAAATATTTGGTTTTTGTGATGATGTTTGCTTAAGGTATCTTGTGGGCCCTATTTATTGGACCTAGGAGAGGGGTGTCTAACCCTTTCCCTCTCCCATCTGAGTCTTACATGGACTGGTTAGTTGGTGCCTTGAGCTCTGGAGTTACTATTTGATAAAAATGATTTTGATGTTATTCTTGGAGGTCCCATCACCTCTAATTCCTAATTTGATGGGTGGCGACTCCAAATCCAGCCCAAGTAAATCATTTTCCGATGCTCACAACAACCGAACACTCTTATTGGGTTGAAGAATGACCAATTTTAATGAGCTATCATCAGTTCCATGAAACATAGCAAGAAGCGGCTTTCTACTGGGTGATGGCGAGGAAACAAAGATATCCGGACCCCCTAAAAGAGAAGGCTCTACTTTGAATTGTCCACCACATCTATGATCGAGACCTCAATTGTCCTTCAACCTCAAGGTCTCAAGCTTCATCCTAGTTTCACCATTTTCCATTTCCACACCAAAGTAAGGGACCTTCCCTAAATGCAATCTGACCTATAGTATAATAAATTGAAGGTCAAAACTTTAAGAGGAATCCAAAAATAACATCTTTATCAGTCTATTTATATCTCAAGATGAATGTAAAAAGGGATAATTCAACGAATTGAGGTGCTTCAAGAGTCAACCTAACCATAAACGTGATGAAAATCTGAGAGGGACTATCAATAGTTCAAAACCTAAGATGTTATCATTCCTAATGACATATCTAAACAGAATAACGACAATAGAGAATCAGAGATTGAGAAGTCATCCCTCAGCCATTGAAGAAAATGACGGGTTTGAAGGAGAATGAACTGTTACTTATACAACTCTCATGCAAATTGTCTCTTTCAGTTTATTTCTGATTTCTTTTATTCGTTTGAGGGCAAATGGAATAAGCAGATGCCATTGTTGTGATTTGATAAAAGCTTGGGAAAGGTGGAGAAGGAAAAGGACTACAGCATCCCTTTTCATTCGTGAACAAATATGACTGTCTATTGACAGTTACAAGAAGTCTGGGTGTTGTTATTGCTTATTTTCTTCTACTCAGAGATATGGCGAATAGGTTCGACAAAAATCAGATGCATTTGAACAAAATCACCCACAAGGTGTTGTTATTGCTTAGATCAGACACCACCATTAGACTCGAGACCTTCCCAAATACCTATGCATCAAATCTCAACTCAAAATTCCTTTATTTACCCTCTCATTAAGCGAAGATTCCATTTTGACTCCTTTCATTAGCCTGAAACACTTACAACCTAGATCCCCTTGATCCAAATACATCTGAGCCAATTAGACCATATGATTGAACCCTAGACACACCAAAACATTTGCCCATAAAATTTCAACCCAAGATTCCATTCCGAACCCTCTCATTAACCCAAATTCAAACAATCTTAACCTACCTGAACCAATCAGACATTACCACTAGATCCCATATACTTTGAAACACCCACTTGTAAAATTTCAGTCCAAAATACCTTTGTTTTCTTCTTCATCGCACCAAGATTCTATTCCGAATCTCTAGATCAACCGAATCCACTACCCTACTAGATATGCCCAATCCAGGCCCAGTTGGGCCCATTCAACCCTACCAATCAACCCATAATGTTTAGAAACCTTACACTATGAATTTTCAACAAAAAATACCCTTGTTTGCCTCTCCATCGCTCAAAGATTCCGTTTCAAGGTTCTAAATCAATCAAATCAAGCCATTTTCCAAATCTGCCCGATTAGGGCCCAATTGGCCCAATTTGACCCTGTCATTTAACCCATAATGCTCAAAACCCCATCCTGCCAAATTTCAACAAAAAATACCCCAATTTACCCACTCATCTAAACAAATTTTGTTTCCATCAATTGGCACACACAAAACATATCTATGCGGTCAAACCATCTCAACCCTCTGATCTTTGCCCAAACTCTCAGACATCCATCGGTTTGACCCAAATATTTCAAAATTAAAAAATGCCCTTCGAATCCCGGTTTGAACTAATGTTCCTAATTCGAGAAAATTGACTATTCGGAACTGCCCATCGTCTCTTGCGTTCAAACTGAACGAGAGTGGTGGAACACACTCCAGTCTCCACCACCATACTATCTTTTTCTCTCCCTCATTCTTCTTCTTCTTCTTCTTCTAAATTCACTGTTCATCGTCTTCCCTTCTTAGAAAGAACAGAGTGGCGGCAATCGGAAGAAACTCTCCCTTCTCCCAGTTTTCTTGTTTTTTTCTTTTTGTTTTCTCTCTTATTCCCTGTCTTCATCCTAGTTTTCCTTGTCAGTTTCTTTTCTCCGATCGTCGCTGCAACTCTTGGCAGCGGCGCCAGCACCTTTCTTCCTTC